AGATCTGAATTTAAAAAAAAAACCAAGAATTTAAAGGGTTCCTCTGTGAGATCAGATTATCCAACCTACAAATTCAGCAAAGTCCTTGTTTGGGCAAGGAAAGCATAGACATTACTGAATCTCGGCTTGTAAAGGTTTTGCACGCCTTTCTTGAAGCCATTCAGCTACAATCTAGAAATTCTGAGTTCAAGGAGTGCTAATTGCAACCTAAAAGAAAAAAAAAAAAGAAGAAGCTTTTTAGCACTGTCTAAAGTTTGCTAAAAGCATGTTTAAAGCTCCAGCCAGCCTTCCCTTCCCAGGCTCCAAGAAAGCGTAAAGTTTGGAAAATGCACCGTAAATGATTCAGAGTCTGATGTTCGTCCGACTATCATTTACAAGCTAAGATTGAATAATACTTGCATATAGGAGGCCTGTCACCCAAGGGACTAAGACTGGCAAAAGGTATAACCCCCATCCCACCACCAGCAGATGAATATGGTGGGTCGCTCAGTCATCAACTACTCCATTCAGAAATCATCTTGTATTCTTTTCAGTGAATGCAAAGCCTTTTCTGAATAGAAAGGGTGAGATCCAGACTCTCATACACACCACCCCTCCCCTTTTGTTCCATTCAGAGAAAGACTATTATTTAGGGACTAGAAAACAAGAAGTTTTCTGAATGGAGGAGTTGAAAAACAAACGACTCCCTATCAACACTGCATAAGCAGTGGAACTCACAAAAGCTGATCTGGAAGACCAAAGCCAACAGTGGTATGTGGCATAATACAGCGAAGATTTTTTTACAAACCCCTAGACGTAGAATATCAAGAATGAGAGGTAACAAAGCTGGACCCAGCAAACATCAAAAATATTTTTTTTTCTGGAATCCCACTTTAACAGCCAATTCTGCGATGCTAACTTCCACGATTCTACTCTCAGAGTAAGGTAACCAGGGGCGGACTGACCATTTGGAAACTCGGGCCCGGGGTCAGTAGGGGGCCCCATGAGATGCCCCTGGTACCTTTTTCATAGGCTTTTTTGAGTTTGGGCAAGGACACAGGGGCCCCATGATCCCCTATTGCCCGGGGGCCACATGAGTTGTCAGTCCGCCCCTGAAGGTAACACAGCAATTTCCTTCCAGAACGCAGCAAAGAAGTTAGAACAGCATCATGGTATACATCCCATAATAGAAACAAGGGGGCTGTGAATGCTGACTGCAGAGTTTGTCGAGTCGCTGGCCTGGAATAATATGCAGATGAATAAAGACAGGATCTCATATCTACATACTGGTTCCTGGTCATTCACTCAAAGACCTGAAGGTTCTATTCACATTAGCGACTTTGGAGTGCAACTTTGATGTGACTTTTGGTGTGACTTCACACTCTCTGGACCAAATTAGCAATAAAAGCCGCACAAAAATAGCACAGGCATTTTTTCAGAATCAATGCAACTTTTAAGCAGGCCATAGACCGGTCGAAACCCAGCCGTTTAAAAAAAAAAAAATTGGTTGTTCGATCGGCCGACGTTACCACCAATGGTAAAAAAAAAATTGGCCGATTTTCATCACGTCTATTGCCGGCATTTAACCCCTTAATTACTTCTGTCCCTTGCAGAGACAGGAGAGCACACAGGGGAGCAATACATAAGAATAAGAAGAAAAAAAAGAAGAATTCCAGTCCGCTATTATATTTTATATGAAGTATTGCGGTTGCAACAATGTATCCATTTGTATCCATTTCAGATACAGATGTTTTTATTCGGATATAAATGGATACATTTGTTGCAACCGCAATACTTCATATAAAATATAATAGCGGACTGGAATTCTTCTTCTTCTTTTTCTTCTTCTTGCAGGTCATGGCTCATGCGCAGATTTTTTATCGGTAAAACGGTCAGCCGATTTGCCCATCATTGCCGGGAAAATCGGCTGATCATCAAAATTGGCCACAAATTTTCCAACATGCCCAATAAAAAAAATGTGCAAAAAAGCCCGAAAAACAGCCGACAATTAACCCACTAACGGTTTGAAAATTGGCCGATTTTCAACCTGTCTATGGCCGGCATAAGTCGCACCAATTTGAAGGGGTACCATTGCAAACAATGGGCTGCGAGTTGTCAAGTCCAAAGTCGCAAGACAAGTCACACTAGTGCGAATGGGCCCCATAAAGGGGAGAGCCCCATATGGTCCTCCAATTATAGGCTTTCCTTTAGAAGGGTCCTATGGCTTACTGTGTCATCCATAGCAGTGAAGGCCCCTTTCATGCTCACCAATGTTCGCTATATTCAACATTCAATATGTGGGTTTTGTAAACTGCAATATGACTGACCTCTGCTGCAAAACAGACACACAGACCTACAACAGTCTCATTTAAAGCTAAACTCCGGATATGCAGAAAAAAAATACAAATGAAAGCGGCATTAAACCTAATCATTTATTACATTGCAGCTTAGCAATCCTTAGATGTGGTGGCTGCATTAGATTTCTTTTCTTTGGCTCCCCCCCCCCACTCTGTTTTCACCTGGTGATCTGGCCAGTAACACACTTCTTGTATTAGTGTGACACATCTCTGAGGAATGAGCACAGGAGGCACAGGAAACAGCAGCATTGTCAGTCTAGGGGAGGCTAGTGTTATATGTATTAGCAGATTTAGACGCATGAACAAATTGAAGCCAAACTCCACATCACACTTTACAGCAAAGGGGAATTGCATTAAAAAATAAAATCTGATCATTTTAACCCCTCCCTCTCGTCAGTGCTAAGTGCTTTGTCTCATCCATGTAAATTGATACATTCTGCTGGAGGGCTTGAGCTTGTGAAAAACTGACTTACCCCCGGTTCACATATATGTGGCTGTGCGGGCCGTGTTTTGCATTCATTTGAATGGACTCCCGTGCCTGTGACACACAGGGAAGAAGTCCCTGCACTTCTTTGAAAAACGCAGCCCTCACGGGAACCTCGGGTCCCACTACGGTTGCGTTTTCCAGTGCGGGCGGCGTGCCATTAGAACTAATGGCACCCGCCCACGGGTCTGCATTTCTCTGTGCATGGATTTTCGTGCGAATCTGCAGCGGCACCACCAGCACAGATGTGAACCTAAGGGTTACTGGCTGGATCTCCAGATGAAAATAGAAGAAAGAAAACGAATGCAGCCACCACTTCTAAGAATAGGTAAGCTGCAAAATAATAAATGTATGCTTTGGGTTTAATACCCAATTTCTGTAGTTATAAATGCATCAGTAAATTGTTCTGTTTTTTTTTAACGCAAGCAGTGTAAGTATCTCAATTTGGCTTGGTATCAGACTCTTGCAATCCCTGTGCAGCAAAGCTCAAGCTGTGCAAACATGGAGCATGCTGATGGGAGGAAGAGAATAGAATGACAGAGAGAGATGAATCTATCAGCCTGCTATAAGCCATGGGTCAGGTACAATTTCTAAGGCCGGCCATACATGAGTTGATTTCCGAAAGAATTTTAGTTTGGAAATCAGACCTAAGAATAAACGACTGATTTTTGCTCTGTTAGTGGGGCACTGGCACTGGTTGATTTTTTTGTGGTTCCTCCCCATTTTGTTTATCAGGCATGTTGGAAAATTTGTGAAAAACTACCAATTTTTTAAATCATTGGTGGCACCATCGGATTACAGAATGAACGTTTTCAATGGAAAAATCGTTCGGAATTCGACCCATGTATGGCCTGCTTATGATGTGGATCTCTATTTAAATGAGTTTGTTGCAGGTCTCTATGGGGGAGATTTACTAAGCAGATGTGCATAGTAACCAATCAGCTTCTAACTTTAGCTTGGTTAATTAAGCTTTGACAATAAAACCTGGAAGCTGATTGGTTAATATGCAGAGCTGCACCAGATTTTGTGTGCACCAGTGTTAGTAAATCTCCCCTATGTGTTAGCAACCCCCCCAACTGTCTGCTTACCTCCCAATAATGCCTGGCCAATAAGATCTCCAGATATCACCGCATGACAGAATGTAAACATTACACTAAACAGACAGTTCGGCTTGCCTGTGCCAAGAACCCTCCTGCCGTTTATTTTAGAAGACAATTTTCTCCTATCAATGACTGAATCCTCCAGGACATATCCTTATTTGATCAATTTACATTTCTTAAAGATAACAAAAACAAAAATAAGAAAATATATATATAGATATATATATATTAAATATGAAATACATTTGGCATTTAAGTTACAATGCTAAAAACATAAAACTACAAAATAGTAAATGGTCACCCTCTGAGAGGATTTAGGCATAACCCCCCGTTCGTGCCATGAGCTTTGTCCAATGGCAGTTCTAGAGTAACCTTGAGATGTAACAGAACTTGGCACAGAAAAAAATGAGATGCGATGCTAAACTTCTCTGCTACTACCAGGTGGCAGTAGTGAGCCGAGGCATGGTTGTTGCGAGAGGTATAATTTAGATGAAACTTACTATATATACAAATAAATAAAAAAAAAATGCTCATACCCTGGATGAATAACCAAAATAGCACCACATGGACAAATGAATGCAAACGAACAAGGGGTAGGTCTAAAGTGGTGTCAAATATTGCATGAATAAATGAGACATCTGCACCAACTTTATTACATTCTTTAAAGACCTTCACATCACGTGCCTCGAACCTCTGCCTTACCTACCAAACCCTCTTACAAAGACAACTTATTAGAACTTTCTCTTTTCCGCCCAATCCGTGTCCCATTTGTACATTGTTCCCACCAAAACCATCTTTCTGCAATAGTAATTCACTTCCCGCATCAGTCCAAACAATCCTCTGCACCCTAATATATCGGAATGTTGCTATCAGGTGAACGTACAACCCTATTGTTTATATCCATCAGTACAGATGTCGTCATTTGGGGGGGGGGGGGGTCATGAACTCCAGTTTTACCCAACCACCCGTTTTGGATTTGAAACCTCTGAGGTTTTGTCGCATGGCTCTTCATGGGATGCTACTGGCTGATCATTTACCGGTGGTTGTTCCTGAACAAAGTTTGAGTGAAGGTTACGTTGGCTACAATTCTATCTGGAAGGTCTTCTGCAGTTCGTTGGAGAAAGGGTTGGCCAGGCGTTGCTGAGATTTGGACTCCAGTGCTGCCCACTGAGCTTCGAACTGATCCACTTCTTGTGCAGTGGAGGCCAGTCGTAGCTGGCTGGGATCTGGGGGCCAAGTACCGTTGGCAGGGTTGTTCGACTTTGGTCCAGACTGGTGAGGCTGATTTGGGGTAGGGTTGTGGACACTTGTGGCTGAAGAGTGCATTATGCTGTGAGGGAATGGGTTAGTTTTACTTGCCAAGTTAGACGACGGTACTTGGGTAGCAGAGCAGAAAACGTTGGCCACCATCTGGGAAGGAGTGATGCCTACCACCGGTACGCTTGGTGTAGGGTATGATATGCTGTTGGCCATGGGTGGGACATAACTACCCACTGGAACATAGGCAGGCTGCATATGAGGGGTAATGAACATACCCACGGGGGCAGGAGCGGCATCAAAAGAAACAGGATAAGCCTGTATTGTAGTTGGAACTGCCATTGGTACAGCTACCATAGGCTGCGGCAAGGGCTCTTGATGTTGCTGCTGCTGCTGAGCTTTGGCTGCCTTTGCCACCTCTTCAAGCCAGCGTTCTGCTTCAGATGGTGTACGACGATGACCCATTTGGATGTTAGGAGTTGAGTTGGTGGTCACTGCTTGATCTGGCCAAGCTGGCATGCCTACATGAAACAGACATTCAGTTGCTTTATCCCGACCCATATATACAATAAAAATTCAAAGTTTCTCATTTAGCTAGGGTAAATATTTCTGACATGCCCCAATAAGCCTGGAAAGCCACAACACAAAGATTACAAGAGTGACTTCATTTCCAATATCTTAATTCTGAGAAGCATTTCATTATCGGAGCTTACAGTATATACTTCAGCTTCAGTCAAGAGGTCTTAAATTCAGTTCTATGCAAACTAGATGGCCTTATTATCAGAACTGAAAGATACATTTGCTTCTTAATTGAACTGCAGACTTTGGGCTTAATAAATAATGGAAAGCTTAAAATTGAATTCAAGGCATGGCAATTTTTTACATAGTTATATTGATCCAGCTTGGACCAATGTAAATATGTATGAACCAAACCTGTGGGATCCCCACGGAAGTTGAAAATCACTGTAAAAGGCACCACTACTACAGTGATCTCCACTAGCTTCCGGGTCCCGTGCCAAGCAGCTGTCCTGCTGCATTGAGAACACAGGAGGTCAACCCCTTGGCAGGGACGCCGTTCAGGGAACACTTTGTATTTTCTCAGTGACCAAGTGTTCTCTGAGTGATTGAGGTGAAGTGGTGGGGCACACTGATATCACAATGTCCACCTTGTCAGTTCAGAGAACATTTTGAATCTAACAAATCCAAAGTGTTCTGTGAATGGCGCTTGTACGGAGCAAACAATGCCCTGTGTTCACAATGCAGCAGGGCAGCCATTTGGGATGGAACCTAGAAGCTATCGACAATCATTGGAGTAGCGGTGTCTGCTACCGGGATTTCCAGCTTTCGTGGGTGTTCCACAGGTATGGCACATACATTTCATAGCTACATTGGCCCAAGCTACATCATTTTAACTATATAAAAATTGTTATACCTAAAGTCCAGCTTTAAGCCCCGGTTCACACCATTGCAACTTATCATGCGGTTTGACAGTTCCAAAACACATGACAAGTCAAAACCTATTGTCAGCAATGGAACTGTTCAAATTTAAAAATAGTTCCTGCATTATTTTTGGTGATTTCAGGTGCAACTTGCATTGACATCTATGCAATTCTTTCTATGGGGATAACTTATTCTGGTGAAAAGCAGAGAGGATTTCTCCAACTTTGGAGAAATCTCCATCAGCTTTCTGTTGTGCCACAAGAAAAGAAGTGAGGACAAATCTTCCCATGGGACATGCCATGAAAAAAACATAGAAGCTGCCATTGCTGAGCTCCTTCTTAAAAGTGTTTCTACCTGTCATGTTGACCTTCTGTCAGTACTTCACAGAGTCAGTGTCCCAGATGAAGTATGCAGATAAGACCGGTGGACTTTCCCCCGGTCTACATACTTGCTCCAAGTCAATGATTCAAAAAGTATTGAAGCTTTAGGGTCAGTAGACCAGACAGGCAGCTGCCATTTTTAGAAGAAGGTCACAAATAGAATCTTCCATGTTTCTCTCATGACAATCCTATTTCACTGGTCAGTCTTTGGAAAATGTAATTTCTGATTGGTTGCCTTGAGTTACTACACTTCGCACATCATAATCATTTTTTGCAGTGCTTTGTCAAATGAGCCCACTGAAGTCAAACTGAATCTGACAAAGCTAGGTTAACCTTTTATCATTTATTCATTCCCCCCATGCCCTTACTTTGTGCTGCCTGTCGAGGAGGAGGAAGACAAGCCACGTTGGGTGGGGTCCTCATCCCATTCCCATTCACACAGTGGTCTTCAGATGCTTTGTTGGTGAAGGAGCTATTGATCTGGTTGCACAGGTCAGTAATTCCATCCGAGTCAGGTGGTCCTGTGGGATCCATTTCTAGGACTGAAGGAAAAAACACTGGTTGAGAAAGGATGGCTATAATTTTGCCTTCAGTACATGTTAATAAAGGCAACAGAAAAAAAACCCAAAAAACTTGATCTGGATCAGAAAATCTGTAAAAGACCGACTTTCAAAAGATGTGTGCTAAGGAGTTCTGTATTAGAGGTACAGGTCTGGAAATTTAAGAAAACAATTATACATATTATTATTATTATACAGTATTTATAAAGCGCCAATAGTTCACTCAGCGCTGTACATTACAAAGGGGGACAGAACATGTGACAGAACAATAACAATACAATGCAAAACATGAGGGGTTCGAGGGCCCTGCTCTTTCGAGCTTACAATCTAGAAGGGAGGGGATGGTGGCACAGGAGGAGATAGCTGGGGGGATGGAGTGGTAGAAAGAGTGGAGGAGGTCGGCAACTTAGCAGGGGGTGGGGTAGGCTTCCCTGAAGAGATGGGTTTTCAGGGTGCACCTAAAGGAGAGGAGAGTAGGTGATAATCTGATGGGTTGGGGCAGGGAGTTCCAGAGAATGGGTGACACCCTGGAGAAGTCCTGGAGGCGGGCATGGGAAGAGGAGACCAGGGAACTAGAGAGAAGGAGGTCTTGTGAGGAGCGGAGTGTGCGTGTTGGGTGGTACTTGGATATTAGGTCAGTGATGTAGATGGAGAAGAGAAGGGGCCCGAGGACGGAGCCTTGAGGGACCCCAACAGAGAGGGGGAGTGAGGGGGAGGTGGTAGCATTATAGGTAACGCTGAAAGAGCGTTGTGACAGGTAGGATGAGAGCCAGGAGAGAGCAGAATCTCTGAGGCTGAAGGAGTGTAGTTTTTTGAGGAGGAGGGGGGGGTGGTTGACTGTGTCGAAGGCTGCGGAGAGGTCAAGGAGTAGGAGCACTGAATAGTGGCCATTAGCTTTGGCGGTTAGCAGGTCGTTGGAGAGTTTGAGTAAGGCAGTTTCGTTGGAGTGTAGGGGACGGAAGCCAGAATGTAGGGGATCGAGGAGGTTGTTATCGCTGAGGTGAGAGCTTAGGCGGGTGTAGACTAGGCGCTCGAGGAGTTTGGATGTAAATGGGAGCAGGGAGATGGGTCTGAGGTTGTTTGGGTCATTGGGGTCCAGGGAGGGCTTTTTAAGTATGGGGGTGATGTGTGCATGTTTTAGAGGGGAGGGGAAAGTGCCGGAGGAGAGGGAGAGAGATTAAAGATGTGGGTAATTCCAGATTGCAATGTAATGCCTCCCTTCTCTTGTACCACCATATTGTGGTTTGTGCTAAACAGTGCCCTGCACTACCATGGGGCAAACACCTTACGGTAAGTATAAAGATGTAATATGCACCCCACTGGTTCTTACTAGTTTTGAGAGTAAATATAAAATGCCCCCCATTGTCCTGCACTCATCTCTCTTACATAAGTATCTCCACACTCCTCCAAGACACTCTCTAAACCATCATAGATGAAGACTGGGTGGAAATCAGTTTTTTAACGGCCAAGATCTTTTATTATCCTAACGCCAGAGCTCCCTCTGCAGTGGTCTCCAAACTGTGGTCCTTTGCTAGCATCGATCCAACCCTTGGCTCACTAATTCCTTCCACTGATACAATGATGGGACACTATTCCCCTCACGGATACCAATGTTGGGTCACTATTCCTCCAACTGATACAAATAATGAGCCACTATTCCACTCACTGAGACCAATAATGGGCCACTATTCCTCTCACTGATACCAATGGTGGGTCTCTATTCCTCCCACTAATACCAATGATGCAGCACTTTTCCCCCACAGATACCAATGATAGGCCACTATTCCTCCCCAATGATACCAATGATGGGCCACTATTCCTCTCACTGATACCAATAATGAGGCACTACTCCTCCCACAGATAGTAAAGTTGGGCCACTATTCCCCCCCCCCCCCCCACTGATACCAATGATGGGGCACGTCCTCCCGCAGATAACAATCCTGGGGCACTATTCCTCCCACTGATACCAATGATGGGCCACTATTCCTCTCACTGATACCAATATTAGAGCACTATTCCACCCACAGATACCAATGATGGGCCACTATTCCTCTCACTGATACCAATGATGGGGCACTATTCCTACCACTGATATCAAAGATGAGCCAATATTGCTCCCATTGTTACCAATGGTGGGCCACTATTCCTCTCACTGATACCAATAATGGGGCACTAATTCTTCCACTAAAACCAATGATGGGCACTATTCTTTCCACAGATACCAATGATGGGCCACTACTCCTCCCACTGATACCACTGGTGGGCCACTATTCCTCTCACTGATACCAATGGTGGGCCACTATTCCTCCCACTAATACCAATAATGGGGCACTATTCCTCTCACTGATGCCAATGGTGGACCACTATTCCTCCCACTAATACCTATAACAGGGCACTATTCCTCCCACTGATACCAATGGTGGGCCACTATCCCTCCCACTAATACCAATAATGGGGCACTATTCCTCCCACTGATATCAATGATGAGCCATTACTCCTCCCACTGCTACCAATGGTGAGCCACTATTTCTCTCACTGATACTAATAATGGGGCACTACCCCCCCCCCCCCCCCCCCCCAGATACCAATGATGGGCCACTATTCTTCCCACTGATACCAATATTTAGAGCACTATTCCACCCACAGATATCAATAATGGACCACTATTCCTCCCACTGATACCAATGATGGGGCACTATTCCTACCACTGAGACCCATGATGGGGCACTATGCCTCCCACTGAGACCCATGATGGGGCACTATTCCTCCCACTGAGACTCATGATGGGGCACTATTCCTCCCACAGATACCAATGATGGGGCACTATTCCTCCCCAGATACCAAGTGAATGATGGGGCATTATTCCTCCCACAGATACCAACGATGGGGCACTATTCCTCCCACTGATACCAATGATGGGGCACTATTCCTACCACACTGAACCCATGATGGGGCACTATGCCTCCCACTGAGACCCAATGATGGGGCACTATGCCTCCTACTAAGACCCATGATGGGGCACTATGCCTCCCACTGAGATCCATGATGGGGCACTATTCTTCTCACAGATACCAATGATGTGGCACTATTCCTCCCACTGATAGCAATGATGGGACACTATTCCTCCCACAGATACCAATGATGGGACACTATTCCTCCCACAGATACCAATGATGGGGCACTATTCCTCCCACAGATACCAATGATGGGGCACTATTCCTCCCACAGATACCGATGATGGGGCACTATTCCTCCCACAGATATCGATGACGGGGCACTATTCCTCCCACAGATACCAATGATGGGGCACTATTCCTCCCACAGATACCAATGATGGGACACTATTCCTAGCCACAGATACCAATGATGGGGCACTATTCCTCCCACAGATACCAACGATGGGCAGTATTCCTCCCACAAATACCAATGATGGGGCACTATTCCTCCCACAGATACCAATGATGGAGCACTATTCCTCCCACAAATACCAATGATGGGGCACTATTCCTCCCACAGATACCAATGATGGGGCACTATTCCTCCCACAGATACCAACGATGGAGCAGTATTCCTCCCACAAATACCAATGATGGGGCACTATTCCTCCCACAGATACCAACGATGGGCTCTATTCCTCCCACAAATACCAATGATGGGGCACTATTCCTCCCACAGATACCAATGATGGGGCACTATTCCTCCCACAGATACCAATGATGGGCCACTATTCCTCCCACAGATATCAATGATGACGGGGCACTATTCCTCCCACAGATACCAATGATGGGGCACTATTCCTCCCACTGATACCAATGAGATAGTGATTGGCACTATTCCTCCCACTGATACCAATGATGGGCCACTATTCCACCCACTGATATCGATGATGAACCAATATTCCTTCCAGTGATACCAATGGTGGGCCACTGTTTCACAGATTCCAGCGATGGGCCACTATTCCTCCCACTGATATCAACGATGAGCCACTATTCACTGATACCAATAATGGGGCACTACTCCTCCCACTGATACCAATAATGGGGCACTACTCCTCCCACTGATACCAATAATGGGGCACTACTCCTCCCACTGATACCAATAATGGTGCACTGCTCACTTCGGTTAAAATTTGAAGTGAACAACCGTTGATTTTTTCTGTTTGATGCCACGCTATATCAATCAATTTCCAGCACTCGGGATGATTTGAAAAACACACTCTTTGACTATATTAATGTTGGACAAATATAGTTTGAGAATTTAAGCACTCATAATTTTGCATATAAGGTTATTGGATTTTTCGTCATAGCTGCACTGTATTTTGTATATAACATTTTTAATGGGTAGTGTGTGATACATTTGGTTCTAGCTGACACAGGATACTAGAGGGCAGTGCAAGAGCAAATTCTTATGTATAGTCTGCAGATATCGCAGCCCTACTAAACAAACCAATTAAGGATATGCAACATAACACAGCAAACATGACCGGATTTACAGCATATTATATCTAACCAAACAAATCATAGCCCAATCATGGAAATCACCAGCACAGAGTTCTCAAGAGGTTAAAACACAACTAAATGGTACAATAATTAACAGCTATCTCAATACATAAACATCAGAAATTCCAAAAAATGTGGTCTCCATGAATAGCCTAAAAGTGCCTCTTTTCTACTCCTTCGCTGCGCCCTATAAGCCACATTGGATCTACTGTAGAGTCTTTTCCATTATTCTTCTCTCTCAAAAAAAAAGTTTAATATGCTTCAGTTATGAATGAACACAGTGAATGATCGGTACCGAACACTCATTGTGTTTCATTCAGGAAAGGAAAGGGCTGGTAAATGTGACATATTTATCGGACCCTTCCCCCACTCTCCACCCTGAAGGATCCTATTGTGTGCTTGCAGCTGCCAGTGAGATGGAGAGGAGGGAAGCTGACACTGTGGGGGCCCAAGCAGTTGGGTGAATCAGATGTTGCACAGGGAGGGTGATCAGTGCCGATCTCAGTCTTCACAGGACGCTTCAAGGGACTGAGATCGAGCTCTGCAGTCACTTTTGCAGGAGTTGTTTCCTTATTCCAGGTCACTATCCTACGCAATGTCCTTTTGTCTCTTTCGGTCAGTTGATCATGTCAGCCGTTCTTGCGCTTTTCAGTCAATGTTTTCCCCAGAAACTGTATACGCCGTCATAACCTTTGATACTGTACCTTGTGACATAGCAAATAAATTGGCGACTTCAGTCACAGAGGCACCAGCTAAGCGCCACCAACAATTTGCCCTCTTTAAAACTCAGTAAGCTCAGACACGACTCCGTATTGCTAGCAGCACATGCGGCAAATGATGAAAATGAGGCTTCCACCTGTTAGCTAGGTGTCTCATCACACAGCGGAAGAAAAAGATGGTTACATCATGTCCACTTTCAACACGAAACATGATGTCACTTTCAAGCCTGCAAACCAAGCAGTATTTCCATTTTTTTGTCCAACCCCTGTACTTTGTATTTGTAAATCTTTGTTAAAGTGTTACTAAATATACAGACTGATTTTACTGTTGTGGATTATTATTCCAGGTACTTATATAGCGCCGTCAGTTTAAGCAGCGCATTATATATATATATATATATTGTACATTCACATCAGCCCCTAACCCTCAAGGGGTGTACAATCTAAGGTCCCTAACTCACATTCATACATACACATACTAGGGACAATTTAGACAGGATCCAATTAATCTACCAGCATGTCTTTGGAGTGTGGGAGGAAACCGCAGTACCCGGAGGAAACCCATGCAGGCACAAGGAGAACATGCAAACTCCAGGCAGGTGGTACCATGGTTGGGATACAAACCAGTGACCCTAGTACTGCCAGGCAGAAGTGCTAACCACTTAGCAACTATGCTGCCCCATGTATATGCAGTAAAGCATACTTGTTATACTCACTGTGGAACCTAAGGAGTTAATCCCCTTAAAAAAAAAGGCTGTTTGACCCTGTCTTTTCTGATCCTCCCCTTCTTCTACTGTTCCCAATCCATCTGCTGATAGTACGGAGCTCTCGGAAGCCATCTGCACATGCTCAGTGTGGTGTGTATTTTTTTTTTTTTTTTTGGGAGGGTGATCAGCACAGGGTCAATCAGCACTGAATGTCAGCAGTCATGCAGTCTCATAGGACATTCAGGGGTGAATGACAACTCCTCTTACAAGATTACTAGTGCTCATCCAAACACTGATAGAAGTCACAAGACTGCTATATACTGCTGATTAGAAAAAGAATTTAGCAGTTTATATTTACTAAAATAATTGCATTTCCATGTGGGAGATCAATTATAGTGAATACAGGGTCCGGCGAGACCAGATATAGTGAACGCAGGGTCCGGGGAGAGCGGATATAGTGAATGCAGGGTCCGGCGAGACCAGATATAGTGAATGCAGGGTCCGGGGAGAGCAGATATAGTGAATGGAGAGCAGATATAGTGAATGCAGGGTCCTGGGAGAGCAAATATAGTGAATGCAGGGTCCGGGGAGAGCAGATATAGTGAATGCAGGGTCCGGGGAGACCAGATATAGTGAATCCGGGGTCCTGGGAGACCAGATATAGTGAACGCAGGGTCCGGGGAGACCGGATATAGTGAATGCAGGGTCCTGGGAGAGCGGATATAGTGAATGCAGGGTCCAGTGAATGAGGGTCCGGGGAGAGCGGATATAGTGAATGCAGGGTCCAGGGAGAGCAGATATAGTGAATGCAGGGTCCGGGGAGACCAGATATAGTGAATGCAGGGTCCGGGGAGAGCGGATATAGTGAATGCAGGGTCCGGGGAGACCGGATATAGTGAATGCAGGGTCCGGGGAGACCAGATATAGTGAATGCGGGGTCCGGGGAGACCGGATATAGTTAATTCAGGGTCCTGGGTTTAGGAACACTTTAAAGAAGTGTTAAATTAAAAAAAAAACCAAATACACATACTCACCTCCAGCTGTCCCCACCGGTTCTAAGCTCGAGAATTGAGCACATGTACTGCATGGCCAGCAGGTTCTACTAAAGCCTAAGATTTGAGGTGACCTTTGGTCAGGTAGATCAGAACAGCCTAATCTGTGGTTCCATCAAGAACAAATTGATTCCCTGCCACCCATGTCTCACCTTGGCCCTTGTCCTGGAAATTTGTTTTGCGCTGCAGTGTGGATGGGAGTTCGTTGAGCCTCAGCGACAGCTGTCGTTTGAAGGGTGAATTCTTCTGACTAAGAGCAGGGAAACCGCGGAAAGATCCTTGTCTTACAAGCTGTTCAATGGGGGCATGTCGTCGTGGAATGGCATGCTGGCTGCCCATCTCTGCCTTCTCTGATGGGACCGAAGACCCCTGCAGGGGAGAAGAGTTCTCTGTCTGGGCTGGTAGTCCAGTACTGGGGGAGGCAGTCAGAGAAGATGCGTTTGATGACTGGCTCTGATTTCCTTCACTTGTGATACCTGAGATACATAAATGACATTAAAGGGGTTCTATAACTGTTCCAAGTCAATTCTACAACAGTTTTCGTGTTAAAGCCCATCTCTGGTAATAGGAGAAATCCTGTGCAATGGCCTGGCCTGGCACTGTGAGGGTTTAATGCTCCCCTCTACTCCCCTATGTTTTGGCAGTGGACTGTCCCTTGGCATCCTTACCCATATGGAAGAAAATATATTTGAAACATATTTTTAAAATATTCTCCCCAAATATATTGCCTAATATTTGAAATTCTACAATTTTGGCCATATTCAATATATTTCAATAAATATATACATATACATACACACACACATATATATTATACACACACATATACTCACACACTGCATGTTGAAATTATTACAAAATATATGAAAAATATTTTTGAAAATACATTTTTGGAATGCATTTACAGATATATGTAAAAATATGTTAAAATGACTTTTTTATATGTTAAAAAAAAGTGAAGAATATATTAAAAGAAAACATTTTTAAAAACATATTTTATTAATATATATTCTTCAGATTTTTTTTAACATATGAAAAAGTCATTTTAAACATATGTTTACATACAGTTGCAAGAAAAGGTATGTGAACCCTGTGGGACTACGTGGAGTTTTGCATGAATTGGGCATAAAATGTGCTCTGAACGTCATCTAAGTCACAACAATAGAAGAACACAGTCTGCTGAACATAATACTACACAAACATTAGATGTTGCCATGGTTTAATTGCACATAAAAACATGTAAACATTCACAGTACAGGGAGGAAAAAAGTATGTGAACCTTTGAACTTAATAACTGGCTGACCCTCCTTTGGCAGCAATAACCTCAACCAAACATTTCCTGTAGTTGCAGATCAGACCTGCACAACGATCTGGAGTCATTTTGGACCACTCCTCTTCACAAAACTGTTTCAGTGTAGCAATATTCTTGGGATGTCTGGTGTGAATCGCTCTCTTAAGGTCATGCCACAGCATTTCAATCGGGTTGAGGTCAGGACTCTGACTGGGCCACTCCAGAAGGCGTATTCTGTGCTGTTGCAGCCATTGTTTTGTTGAATTACTTGTATGCTTTGGGTCATTGTCCTGTTGCATCACCCATCCTCTGCGGAGCTTCAGTTGGCAGACAGATGGTCTTATGTTTTCCCTGCAAAATGTCTTGATAAATTCTGGAATTCATTTTCCCTCACCAATGACAACAATCCGTCCAGGCCCTGAGGCAGCAAAGCAGCCCCAAACCATGATGCTCCCTCCGCCATGTTTCACAGTGGGGATGAGGTTTTGATGTTGGTGTGCTGTGCCTTTTTTTCTCCACACATAGTGTTGTGTGTTCTTCCCAAACAACTCAATCTTGCTTTCATCTGTCCACAGTATATTTTGCCAGTAGTGCTGTGGAACATCCAGGTGCTCTTTTGCAAACTTTCAAACGTGCTGCAATATTCTTTTTGGACAGCAATGGCTTCCTCCGTGGTGTCCTCCCATGTACTCCATTCTTGTTTAATGTTTTCCTTATTGTAGATGTGTCAACAAAATGTTAGCATGTGCCAGAGATTTCTGTAGGTCTTTAGCTGACACTCTGGGATTCTTCTTTACCTCATGCAGCATTCTGCGCTGTGCTCTTGCAGTCATTTTTACAGGATGACCACGCCTAGGGAGAGTAGTAACAGTGAAAAACTTTCTCCATTTGTAGACAGTCTGTCTTACCGTGGACACATGAACATCAAGGCTTTTGGAGATACTTTTGTAACCCTTTCCAGCTTCATGCAAGTCAACAATTCTTGATCGTAGGTCTTCTGAGAGCTCTTTTTCTGCAAGGCATGGTTCACATCAGACAGTGCTTCTTGAAACCAGTAAACCCAAAAAAAGGTGTGTGTTTTTTAAGGGCAGGACAGTTGTCAGCAACACATCCAATATCATCACACTGATTGGAGTCAAGGTTGGCTCACTCCTGCTACAATTAGCTCTGGGAGAAGTCATTTAAGCTAGGGGCGACTCACATACTTTTTCCTCCCTGCACTGTGAATGTTTACATTTTGTGCAATTAAACCATGGCAACATCTAATGTTTGGGGGTAGTATTATGTTAAAAGATTGTGTTCTTCTTCTATGTTGTGACTTTGATGAAATTCAGAGCAATATTTATTTGTGTTGTTGGGTTTAATCGGGGGGGTAATCCAAAGGGGTTCACAGGGTTTGCAGGGTGGATTGGGGGGTTTTTTTTTTGGTGGTTTGGGGTGGGGGGGGGGGGGGGGGGGGGGGGGGGGGGGGGGGGGGGGGGGGGGGGGGGGGGGGGGGGGGGGGGGGGGGGGGGGGGGGGGGGGGGGGGGGGGGGGGGGGGGGGGTGGGGGGGGGGGGGGGGGGGGGGGGGGGGGGGGGGGGGGGGGGGGGGGGGGGGGGGGGGGGGGGGGGGGGGGGGGGGGGGGGGGGGGGGGGGGGGGGGGGGGGGGGGGGGGGGGGGGGGGGGGGGGGGGGGGGGGGGGGGGGGGGGGGGGGGGGGGGGGGGGGGGGGGGGGGGGGGGGGGGGGGGGGGGGGGGGGGGGGGGGGGGGGGGGGGGGGGGGGGGGGGGGGGGGGGGGGGGGGGGGGGGGGGGGGGGGGGGGGGGGGGGGGGGGGGGGGGGGGTTGGGGGGGGGGGGGGGGGGGGGGGGGGGGGGGGGGGGGGGGGGGGGGGGGGGGGGGGGGGGGGTGGTAATTTTGGGGGGGGGGGGGGGGGGGGGGGGGGGGGGGGGGGGGGGGGGGGGGGGGGGGGGGTGTTGGGGGGGGGGGGGGGGGGGGGGGGGGGGGGGGGGGGGGGGGGGTTGGGGGGGGGGGGGGGGGGGGGGGGGGGGGGGGGGGGGGGGGGGGGTGGGGGGGGGTTTTTTTGGGGGGGGGGGGGGGGTTATTATTATTTTTGGGGGGTGGGGGGGGGGGGGGGGGGTTGGGGGGGGGGGGGGGGGGGGGGGGTTTAAGGGGGGGGGGTAGGGGGGGGGGGGGGGGGGGGGGGGGGGGGGGGGGGTTGGGGGGGGGGGGGGGGGGGGGTTTTTGGGGGGGGGGGGGGGGGGGGGGGGGGGGGGGGGGGGGGGGGGGGGGGGGGTAATAAATTTTTTTTTTAATGGGGGGGGTTTTTTTTTTTTTTTTAGGGTTTTGGGTTTTTTTTTTTTTTTTTTAGGGGGGGGTTTAAATATTTTTTTAGGTTTAGGGGGGGGGGTATTTTTATTGGGGGGGGTATATTTTTTTTATTTTTGTTTTTGGGTGTTTGATTTTAAATTTGGGGGGGGGTGTAGTGTTTATTTGGGGGGATTTTTTTTTTTTTTTGGGGGGGGGTTATTTTTTTTAAATGGGGGGGGGGTTTTTTGGGGGTGATTTTACTTGGGGTTTTTTTTTTTTTTGGATATTGTTGGGTTTTATATAAATTTTTTTTGTGTCAGGGGGTTGGGGTGGGGGGGGATTTCAAAATTTTTGGGGGGGGGGGGGGGGGGTTTAAAATCATGTAAAGGGAGGGGTATATTTTTGGGGGGGGGGGGGGGGTGGGGGGTGTTTTTTATTTTGGATAAAAAGTAATATAACCTATTACATGTTGGGGGGGGGGGGTTTTTGGGGGGTTGATAGGGTTTTAATGTGGTGGGGGGGGGCATTTTTTTTTAGGGTTTTTTTTTGTTTATGGGGGGTTTTTTATATTTGATTTCAAAACACAAAAAACCCACATGGGGGGGGGGTAAAAAATTGGGTAAAACATAAATTTGGGGGGGTTTTTTTTTTAAAATTTGTTAAAACCCACACAATTTTCTTTTACTTATTTTTTTATATTATTTTGGGGGGTTGGGGTTTTTTATAAAGGTTAATTTTTTTTTTTTAAAATTAATGGGGGTATTTACCCCCCAAAAAAAAAAAAAAAAATTTTATAACCCAGGTTTTTTCAAAAAAAACTTTTTTTTTTTTAAACCACAAATTTTTTTCAAAAAAAAATGGGGGGATAATTTGGGGGAACTTTAAATTTTTTATACCAATATATACTACATAACCCCAAAATTTATTTACACAAAAAATAAAATAATAACCAAAATCAATTTTTTATAAAAACCCCAATATTTATATATTAATTATATAAAAAATAAAACACACACCACAACAAACATAAAAAAAAAATACACAACAAATTTTTAAAATAATAACATAAAAAAACCCCACCCAAAAAAAACCATTATATAATTTACCAATTTAATATATAAAAACATATAAAAAATTATACAAAAAAAACAATTTATATAAAATAATATATATTACAAAAAAATTCATACAATATAACACACACACAATATATAAAAACACACACAAACACACACAAATTTTATACCATAATTTACATATAAAATATAACACACACACCACACAAAAAAAATATAATACACAAACCAAACAACATATAAAAATTAAAAAAATACCAAAATAATATACACAACCAACACAAAACAATTATATAATGATATACACACACCATACACCACATAATATATATATACACACACAAACCACACACATATATATAACATTATATATTACCAACAACAACACCACACACAAAATATAAATATTTTGTACACAACACACACACCACACCCCACCTAAATATACAAACACACAATACATATATATATATATTATTAAACATATATATATATATACACACCACACAACACACACACACACACAATATATAATATATATATATATTATATATACACACACACAAATACACACACACACATATTTTATATATAATATATATATATATTTGACAACACACACAATTTATATATATATACCACCACACACATATTATTTATATATATATATATATATATATATATACAACACACCAATACCATAATAAATATACACACACACACACACACATATATATAATTTACACCACACACAACACAATACATATATATATATATATATATCCCCATTTAACACACACACACACACACATATATATATATACACACACACACATACCCCACAATATACACACACACAACACAAATATATATTAATATATTAAACACACCCTCACACAATATATATATAAACCCAACAAACCCCAAATATACCCACACACACCACACCTCACACCATATATAAACACCCACCCCCCCCCAACCCCCCCCCCCCCCCCTACAACACACACACCACACACACACACAACACACACATATATATATAAACCACCAAACCAAATATATATACCACCCCCCAATATATAATAACCACACACACACACACACACCACAAACATATATATAACACACAAACCACAAAAATATATATACACACACACACCACAATATAAATACCATACTATATATATTATACATACAACAACCCCCACACACACACACACTACAAACACCCCACACACACACACCCCCATCTTTACTATACAAATAAACGTTGCATACAGGGTTCACCCCATTACAAAGGCTTTGTAAAGCATTCAGCGTTTTATAAAGGGCAAGCACAGCAGTAGCTTTTCCCTTTTGTGATTGTCTTTCTCTAACTGAATCTCCATGAGGCCTGCTTGAATAAAAACACACTCCTTAGCTGTGTTTAAAGTGGTTCTAAAGGCTCAAGGTTGCTTTTACATAGATTGCATGAAGGTAAAAAAAAAATCTGTGTGTAGCAGGCCCCCCAAACACTTACCCGACGTGCCTGCTCAGTGCCCCCATTGAAAACTGCTTGCTGTGGGGACACCTGCGCCAGTGTGGGGCCTGAGAAAAGGAGGATCCGGGCTGCTCTGTGCTAAACCACTGTGCACAGCAGGTATGTATGACATGTTTATTATTTCAATAGAAAAAAAAAAAAGACTTTAGTATCACTCAAATTTTTGCAGGTCTGTGTGTAGCTTTCGCTTCAGATACTGTTAGGTCTATTTTTTCTGAACTGTCAGTAAATATATAAAGTGAAAGGCTTATCACCCATGGTTGCTTTTTCTCCTCTGGAGGGTTTGGAAGAAAAAATTATATTGCAAAAAACTAGGTCTGTAACCAAAAAAATGGAATTTCAAATTCAGGACATCTTACACGGCGGTGAAACGCCCCTGCACTTATAGCAGAAGGGATTGCAGCCAACGTAAGGCTCAGTGACTTGCCAGAAGGAGCTGGTTCTGTTCTGTTGTAAGCCTGACGCTGATAGCAATGAAAGGGTTATACAGTACTTGGGACAGATGTGACGCTCCAGTTCCCTCTCTAGTCACTCAATGAGAAAACAATCTTTTCAGCTATAATGAGGTTATTACTGCAGTGGTGTGACATACAAGATGTGCATAAAGAGGACCACCCAGCAACAATTGCTCCCTCCACCCCCTATAGGAATTCTCCAGCTTCTGGTTGTTTATTTGGAGAATCCCATAGAATACATGTACAAAGTGCACGGGACCCCCTGGTGCTTTTACACTAAAGGCTGCTTTTACACAGGAAAGCCTTCTGAGAACAGAAGGTATTCACATCTCATTCCATCATACATCCCAAAAATTAAGCGGATTACGGCTCATTTCAGGAAAGTAGGTGGAACCATCCAAATCACTCCTGTACACCACCAACTGCCGGATATACATCCAGAACTGTTGGTAAAAAACGGCAAAATACAGCCCAATATTATGGAGCCATTTACTCCGAATTGCAGACAACTGTGTCTAGTTTTTTGGCCAACATCAGTGCGGTGTATGGACACCAAGGCTTCTATGGAGTAGGGTTTGGGACCCAATGAGACCATTGTCAAGGTCCTACCTTTTCCCTGAGGTTATGTTACTCCATGTTTCTGGCATCCATCTTGGATTTCTGCTGAGCATGGTGGGAATCCTTTATGCCTTCAGGTCTCTGAGGTCCATCCCCCAGAGGGGTGTGGCTGATGACATATAAGCCTGTGGTCCGCACATGCTCTTTGCACTTGTGTCGCTATTACTCTGTTCTGACTCTCCTGGAATCTGACTTGACTATTCTTTGTATTCTCCTTTGATCTGACCCTCTGTTGCTGAACCCGGCTCGTGACCTGTGATTCTCGTCTGCTGTCCTGTACGGTTTTATCCCGTTGTTGTTGACCCGGCCTGTCTGACTACTCTATTGTCTTTTCTACCAGCTACATGCCATTGGCGGCGGCCATTACCGCAACTGAGGTGCCTCGGGGGCCGCGACCTGGTTCCTGGCTGCGTCAAGTCCATCCCACCATCAGGGGCCTGGTGAAGGGCAGCCTGGGACTTAGACTCCGCGCCCTGAGGGACTTCGGTCTGTGGGTGGTGGTTGTCGTCAGCCAGTGCGTTACATTGTTTAGGCCTGCCTGTCCGTTCCTCAGCTCCTGCCCTGACAACCATACAACCATACAGACTCCAATAAAACAAAAAGGCATCCAAGAGGCACTGGGACTTTGAGTTTGCACAAAGTGGGGAGAGGGAAGAAACATTTGAAGAGCCCACTGGCTCAGATTAGGCTGCTTACAACAGACAAGACTACCCTCCAGTGGGTACCCCAGCAGGATACCACCAAAAAAAAACACGCATACGCAGGAGGAGTGCCAGACCAAAAGATTAAAAAACAAACGTCCTAATTTAATAGTATTGTTCTAAAAGACAACCAAAGCCGAGGTCAAAGGAACTCCCCATGATGATTGCTCATGCAGATACTGCTGGCCAGTAATTCTTCCAATCCAGCAATCAGCTTCCCTACACAAGAAAGCCTCACCATTCAAGTTTCTCATTTTTTACTAAAGCCCTGATAAAGAGGGAGTTTCTTTGACCCCATGAAGCATGTTGGCTGTCTTTTAGCACAATATCAATAAATTAATTTGGTCTCTTATCCTTTGGACTGGCATCCTTTGGTCTGGCGCTCCTTCCATGTGCCCAGTATAACAATCCAGGTCATTCTGAGAAGAAGCTAACAGAGTCAAAATGCCCTCCAACCGAATCAGTGTGTAGCACAGCAAAGCCTTCTTAGACCAGAAAGTATGCTCAGGAGGTGATCCTCCTGACCTGCAGCTTCCTCCAAAAGGTCACCATTGTTTATGCAGATCTTTGTCACGATGTTTGAAATTGTTATCTCCTACCTTTCTTTTTTTTCTTGAACTTGCCGCATTGTCTCTTCTCGGTCGCTGTGGCCAGATGCAGAGGTGACACGGAAGGAACCTTCACGAGCGAAAACTGGTACGGCTGGCATCAAAGGACGCAGTGACTCCACACTCTTTTTCCCCGTTTCTGCTTTCGTTCCAGGCAAGCGGCGAATGCACAGCCAACTGCATGACTCAGGCGTTCCCCCTATTACGGAGGGAGAAGAGGTCAGATTCATATGAAGACCTCCGTATACATTCGAAGGAGAGCTAAACACACAATCACAAGAATCTTGTATAATAAGCTATAATAAGAATAAGCTGTAACATGGTCATTTCAAAAGGTGTATTTAATGTTTTTAATTAGCTTTCTTAAAATAATGTGATCCTGCCATAAAGGCCCTTGTTCAGGCACTTCCTGTTGTCCTAATTTATTAGTTTTGTGCTAAAGGACAACCAAAGCCGAGGTCAAAAGGAACTCCCCCATGATGATTGCTCATGCAGATAGATAAAGAGGGAGTTTCTTTGACACTCCCCCCCCAAAGCATGTTGTGCTTCTATATTGAAATGAACAAAACCTTTCTGTGCTAAATAGAAAAATCACCCCAGTGTAAAAGAGTAGAAAACAATAATATTCAGCAGCTATATATAAATCACAGGTCCTTTGGGTCTGGTAGAAATTTTGAACAGGACCCTGTTCCAAAAAAAAAAAAAAAATGCATGGGGTCCCCCCAAAATCAATATTAGGTCCTTTGGTCTGGTATGGCTTTTAAGGGGGGGGGATACCCCCCCCAAAAAAAATGGCCAGACCCTTATCTGAGCATATAGCCTGCCAGGCCAGGAAAGGGGGGGGGGGGGGACAAGCGAGTGGCTCCCTCCCTCTTGAACTGAGTCACATGCCCTCAACAGGAGCAGGTGCACTGTATCCCTATGCTGATGAAAACAAGTGCCTCTTCCCCGCCACCCTGGCCCAGTGGTTATGGGGACACAGGGGGTAGCTTATTAGAATCTAAAAGCTCCCTTTAACAAAGGGACCCCCGATCCTGCCCCCCCCCCCATGTGAACGAGAGGGGCACAAGCACAAAATAATAGAAAATTGCAACAATAACCATTTTATTCTCCAGGGCCTCTGCTTAAAAAATATATGATATTTGGAGATTCTAAGTAATTTTCTAGCCAAAAAAATGCCGTTTTCTTACATGTATGAGAGAAGTGTCAGAACCGGCCCAGACTGGAGGTGGTTAATTTTGCCAATTAAGGGAATAAACCTAAACTCCAAACTTTCTGCATTAATCGAAGGGTGACGTGGTACAAGACTCAACTGTACCTGTACAATGGAATTAGACAGGGTTACTAGAACTACTTTTACAATTAAGGTCCTGTTCACATTATCACGTAGTGGGAACAAGCTTTCCCACTATGCAATATTGACAGGCGACTGTCATGTAATTCTCTGTGTAGCATATGGCAGAGCATGCACTTGAATTGGGTGCCCTATGTGCGGTTATCACTCAAAAAGAAGCTCCTACTCCTTTTTGGGCAACAAGCTTCACGTGATTTTGAAAGGTGTGGTTTGCCATGCGATCTTGTTGCGCAGCACCCGCAGCAGTGTCACATCCCATTTGGAGTGCCACGCTGCTGCTTCACTTGAGTACCATTGAGGGATAATGATATCCAAATGCATACAGCATGTTGTGCTGCACTTGCCACTCGTATGGGATCGTGGGCAGAATTGCTGTGATCCCAAATCAGGGAGGAGGTGAGCAAAACCTTGGACAGAGGGGTGGCGGTGGACGTGGTATACTTGGATAGAGGGGTGTGGTGGACGTGGTACACTTGGACAGAGGGGTGGCTGTGGACGTGGTATACTTGGACAGAGGGGTGGCGGTGGACGTGGTATACTTGGACAGAGGGGTGGCGGTGGACGTGGTATACTTGGACAGAGGGGGTGGACGTGGTATACTTGGATTTTGCACAAGCCTTTGACACAGTTCCCCACACACGGCTAATGTGTAAGGTAATGTCTCCGGGCTTGGAAAAATCCATATGTAAATGGATAGAAAACTGGCTAAAAGATGGTATTCAGAGAGTAGTGGTTAATGATTCATACTCTGAATGGTCCTAGGAGTGTCAGTGGTGTACCCCAAGGTTCAGTGTTGGGACCCTTACTTTGTAATATATTTATAACGATATAGGGTCTGGGATGTAGAGAATAACTCTACTCTCGGTGTAGAGTTATTCACTCTGAGGTCATCACAGAGGACAAGGGGGCACTCTTTATGTCTGAAGGAAAAGAAATTTAATCTCCAACATGGAAAGGTTTCTTTACAGTGAGAGCTGTGAAAATGTGGAATAGACTCCCTCAAGAGTTGGTTCTGGCCAGCTCCGTGGATTGCTTTAAAAAAGTCCTAGATTCTTTCTTGGATACACAGGATATAACTGGATACTAACATTTATAGGTAAAGTTGATCCAGGGAATATCCGATTGCCTCTCGGGGGATCAGGAAGGAATATTTTCCCAGCAGGAGCAAATTGGACCATGTTTTGCTGGGGTTTTTTGCCTTCCTCTGGATCAACTGTGGGAATAGAATTATAACTTTTTTTTTTTTATGGTTGAACTGGATGGACTTTTGTCTTTTTTTCAGCCAGACTAACTATGTAACTATGATGTGAACAAGGCCTAAGTGATCTACTTTCCTAATACATCCATTATAATGTGTAATTCTGTAATTTCCAAAAACGTAGAGCTCTTTCAATGTGACATGCACACTTTACAAGGATTCTTAAATGCTAACATTCACATTTCACTCACAGAATCTTTCAGGGCCATAAAGCAGTGACAGATCCAGCGTCGCGTGGTGCCATCCCGGCAGATATATGAAAATGCCTTGTCAAAATTGCGGTCAGGAGCGCAGAACGAAACTTTCTCTATGGTCTGATCTACAATGAGGTCCTTAGAAAGAAGGAAAGAAAGCGTGAGTGGAGGAGGAATGGGCAGAAATGGTGACTGTTCAAAGACAAATTTAAACTAATATAATTCTCAACCGAGGTTTCCTCCAGAGCTTGCTAGGAGTTCCTTAGGAAGCCAGTATTGGCATTTGCCTGCACTGACCACCAGTGATAAGGGGTCACTAAACGTTTCACTGTTTGTGTTTCTTTTCTGGCCATTATAAGGCTCAATGCACACTAGCATTTTTTTTCTGCTCCTAGAAGCTAAATTGTCTTATCCTATGTGTCCATGCACTGTTTTAGGCTAGTAGTGTTTTTTCAAGCTTCAGTGTTTAGGAGCAGAAAAAAAAAAATGTTTTTGTAGAGTTTTTCGGAGCATTTTCCAACAGAAAAAAACTGAACGCTCATAAACGCTACTAATACGCTCCTAACACCTTTTTTTTCTACATGTACTGTTAGAACGCTAATACAATGCCAGTGCTCCTAAACGCTACTAAAATGCTACAAAAAAAATGATATATCAGCATTTTTTATCCAGCGGTTTTTCCACTTAAAAAAAAACCACTAGTGCGTATGGAGCCTTAAAGTGTTACTAAACCCCGGACCCTGCATTCACTATATCTGCTCTCCCCGGACCCTGCATTCACTATATCTGCTCTCCCCGGACCCTGCATTCACTATATCTGCTCTCCCCGGACCCTGCATTCACTATATCCGGTCTCCCCCAGACCCTGCATTCACTATATCTGCTCTCCCCGACCCTGCATTCACTATATCTGGTCTCCCCCGAACCCCTGCATTCCCTATATCTGGTCTCCCAGGACCCTGCATTCACTATATCTGGTCTCCCCGGACCCGGCATTCACTATATCTGGTCTCCCGAGGACCCGGCATTCACTATATCTGGTCTCCCGGGACCATGCATTCACTATATCTGGTCTCCCCGGACCCTGCATTCATTATATCAGGTCTCCCAGAACCCTGCATTCACTATATCTGGTCTCCCCGAACCCTGCATTCATTATATCTGGTCTCCCAGGACCCTGCATTCACTATATCTGGTCTCCCAGGACCCTGCATTCACTAGATCTGGTCTCCCAGAACCCTGCATTCACTATATCTGGTCTCCCCAGACCCTGCATTCACTATATCTGTTCTCCCCGGACCCTGCATTCACTATATCCGCTCTCCCCGGACCCTGCATTCACTATATCGGCTCTCCCCGGACCCTGAATTCTCTATATCCGGTCTCCCGGACCCTGCATTCACTATATCTGATGCCCCACAGTACACACAACATGGAAATGCAATTATTTTAGTAAATATAAAACTGCTAAATATCTCTTCTCAATAGCAGTTAGCGTAGTCTTGTGACTTCTATCACTGTCCAGAAGAGCACAGGTTAATCTTGTAGGAGGAGTTTTCATTCTCCTCTGACTGTCCTATGAGGCTGCATAACACCTGACCCTCTGTTTGGACAGTGCTGATTGGCCCTGTGGTGATCACATGCTCCCACCCAAAGAAAAAAAAAAAACCTCTCTAGCCATACACACTAAACTGAGCATGTGCACTCCTAGAGCTCTGTACTAACCGCAGGTGGATTAGGGACAGTAGAAGGGGGAGGATCAGAGAAGACAGGATCAAAAAGCCTTTTGATTAGCCCCCTAGGTTCCACAGTGAGTATAACAAGCATGCTTTACTGCATATACAGACTGATTTTACTGTTGTGGGTTTAGTAACACTTTAATGCTTGTTTCATTTCTTAATTATTAAAGTGGTATTAAAAAGGTAAGAGTTTTATGACATAAGAGACCCTATCAGTCTCTTCTATTATAAATACTTCTCCCTGAATGTCAGCTTTCATGTTGTCCCTTTGGCCATGATGATGTCATTCCTGTGGATATGCAGCACAGCTTACATTTACAGCATCCAATCTGTGCCATGATGACCCGACTCCCATGCGCAGGAGTGATGTCATTGTGGCAAAAGAGACAGAACCTAGAAGGAAGACTTTAGGTGCCCGCACCGTGGGATTGGTGACAGTTCAGCGCTGGAGGGTACATTATGACAGGTAATACAACCCATACATGAGTAATTTTTTTGTCATTTATCCAGTAGGCTGAACAAATAAAAATGACTAGATTCCCCCACCCTCAGAGTCAATGAGGATGGGGGAATCCTCCCGCCAAGCTATTGTATTCTGACAGCTGAGAGACTTTCCCACAGTCAGAACACACTGATCAGTGCTGCCAGCTATTGCCAGTGGCACTGATGGGGCACGAAAAATCCAGTGGGTTGGTTGTAAAGACATCATTGGGTAGATCAACTTCTGTACAACCAGCTTGCCCATACATGGGTCAAACGTCTGCCAGTCCCCGCTGAACTGGTCAAATTTACACCCATGTATAGCCAGCTTTGGTCTGTCATAATGTGCTAATATGTGGTGAATGCTAGCACAATATGGCATAACCCATCTAGGGCCCATATGAAACCAAAAAAAAAAAAAATAATCAGATTTAATACCGCTTTAAGAAAACCCCATTCCTTATTCTTTTATTAAAAATGTTCTACAGCCTGACTGTGCTAATGTACCAATGACCTGAAGGTCCAATAAATTTTAGTGGAGGTTCCTTGAGTCCTGAAATCTATTTCAATGGTTCATTCAGGCTTACCCAATCTATTGTGATGTATTAAAGGGGGTCACAGGAGTGGAATTCATTCTGTGACCAATTTTCAGCCAACAGCAGCCCAAAGCCCGCTGTCGGCTGATGTCACAGAGCCGGTCAACCCAGAAGTCTGCTGCGGCACCTGGATCACCCTCTCAGTTAGCCACCTAGAGCCTGAGCGAGCCGCAACCGCACCGTCCACAGGCCAGTACTCTGGAGCGCTGGAGGAGCAGAGCAGAGAGCTGGAGACTTACAGTCACCAGATCTCTGCAGGCTGAGGACCAAAAGCTGAGTGATCAGTGGTCTTTGATCACTCAGTTCTTGTTCTTTGAGGTGGCATTGGACAGCTGCAGCTGGGATCGGTGCTGTAGACATCTAGGCAAGTATGATTTTTTTTTTTTTTTGCAATTCCCAAACTTTTCTTTTAACACGCATTGTGTGTAGGCAGCCCATTCAATATACATGTACTGAAAATGCACCACAACGGACCAGAAGATGCAAGTGATCCTTTTTTTTTTTCCGCATGACCGCACACCACAAAGATCCATTTAAGGGACGTTATAATGGGATTTCTGTGTGATCTCTATGTCATTCTGTAGCTCACCTTCGTCTTATCATCCACAACCCGCAAGCCATCAGCGGAAACCCACAGAATTGCTTTCACAGACTTCTTCCCAAGCTGTAGAAATAGATGCAAAACAAAATGTTATCAACTGGAAATAATCAAGACAATTGTAGTCGCTCTGGAAAGTCTGACATTGGAAATGCAACAAAGTATCTAATTTTCTATGAAACATTCTGTATATGACCATATATGACCTCTCTTATATACAAGCCCTAAGCTTCCAAAGAATAAAGTTTGTTTTTCTTGTCTGTTTGTGACTTTCTCATATACCCATATGGCACTCATCATCGGTGATCCCGGGACAATCAGCTCAATATGTCACTCTTAACCCTTTGAGGACCAAGGGACGTATTTGTCCCATGTTTTTAATTGCCTGTATCATCTGATTAAGAACTTAAAATACTTTTTTTTGGTTTGAGTCAAAATATTAGTTCTTATCAACAAATGGATCTAGCTTTTTGCCAATTATTTCATGAAATGGCTTAGTTACAACAACTGAAGTGTATGAACTTTAAAAACAAAAAAATTGATTCTTTTGGCATTCTGTAATATTATGGTCCTCAAAGGGATAAAGGGTATAGGAATAAACAACCTTATGGTGCAGTATAAAAACCCAAGGATTTAATAAAACAAACGTTCACACACATTATGTAAAATTGGATATTCATATAAAAAAACTCCGAAACCGAACCCCAAAAAGTTCACTGCGGTCTTTTGCGTGATGGTGTCACTACGAGTTTCGTCATATGGTGACTGTATGATGGAACGTGTAGGGTGGAGTCTATGTGATGTAATCAAGGAAAAGACCGCAGTGAGCATTTTGGGATTCGGCTGTTGAGTATTGTGATATGCAAATTATTCACTTTCCAATTACAGTGGCCGGAAGAGGGTGGGCCTGCTGTGCATCATCAAGGGGTTGGGATGCCTGAACCAGAAAGAGGCAACTGACACCTGATGACAGCAACAAAAATGACGGCATGAGACCCAGTACATGATGGCGGTGCGGTGGATCATGGCAGGATAATGCTGGATCTGCTGGGCAGGTGAGTTTGTGAATAGTGTATAACAGCATCAAAAAGGTATGGTGATCCTTGCTTCGAATCTCTGCCAGGATACTATCTGCATGGAGTTTGCTTGTGTGAATTTCTTCTGGGTACACAGGTTTCCTCCCATACTCCAACAACATGCCAGTAAGTTAACTGGCTTCTGTCCAAATTGGCCCTAGTATGCGTGTGCATGTATGTAAGAGAGGGACCTTCGTTTATAAGCTCCTAAAGGACAGGGACAGGGTTAATGCATAATATGCAAAAAGCTGCATAAATTGTTGGCACTGCGTAAAGGACCAGTTCACACTATAGTTACATAGTTAGTCTGGCTGAAAAAAGACAAAAGTCCATCCAGTTAAGCCAAAAAAAAAAAAAGTTATAATCCTACACCCACAGTTGATCCAGAGGAAGGCAAAAAAAAAAAAAACAGCAAAGCATGATCCAATTTGCTCCTGCAGAGGAAAAAATTCCTTTCTGATCCCCCGAGAGGCGATCGGATATTCTATGGATCTACTTTACCTATAAATGTTAGTATCCAGTTATATTCTGTGTATCTAAGAAAGAATCCAGGACTTTTTTGAAGCAATCCACTGAGCTGGCCAGAACCAACTCTTGAGGGAGTCTATTCCACATTTTTACAGCTCTCACTGTGAAGAAACCTTTCTGTGTTTGGAGATTACATTTCTTTTCCTCCAGACATAAAGAGTGCCCCCTTGTCCTCTGTGATGACCTCAGGGAGAATAACTCTACACCGAGTTCACTATATGAACCACTGATGTATTTATACATGGAGATCATATCCCCCTTATGTATTATACATGGTGATTATATCCCCCTTATGTATTATACAAGGAGATCATATCCCCCCTTATGTATTATACATGGAGATCATATCCCCCTTATGTATTATACATGGAGATCATATTCCCCTTATGTATTATACATGGTGATCATATCCCCCCTTATGTATTATACATGGAGATCATATCCCCCCTTATGTATTATACATGGAGATCATATCCCCCCTTATGTATTATACATGGAGATCATATCCCCCCCTTATGTATTATACATGGAGATCATATCCCCCCTTATGTATTATACATGGACATCATATCCCCCTTATGTATTATACATGGTGATCATATCCCCTCCTTATGTATTATACATGGTGATCATATCCCCCCTTATGTATTATACATGGTGATCATATCCCCCTTATGTATTATACATGGAAATCATATCCCCCCTTATGTATTATACATGGGGATCATATCCCCCCTTATGTATTATACATGGAGATCATATCCCCTCCTTATGTATTATACATGGAGATCATACCCCCCTTATGTATTATACATGGAGATCATATCCCCCCTTATGTATTATACATGGAGATCATATCCCCCCTTATGTATTATACATGGAGATCATATCCCCCCTTATGTATTATACATGGAGATCATATCCCCCTTATGTATTATACATGGAGATCATATCCCTCCCTTATGTATAATACATGGAGATCATATCCCCCCTTATGTATTATACATGGTGATCATATCCCCCTTATGTTTTATACATGGACATCATATCCCCCTTATGTATTATACATGGTGATCATATCCCCCTTATGTATTATACATGGTGATCATATCCCCCCTTATGTATTATACATGGAGATCATATCCCCCTTATGTATTATACATGGTGATCATATCCCCCTTATGTATTATACATGGACATCATATCCCCCTTATGTATTATACATGGAGATCATATCCCTCCTTATGTATTATACATGGAGATCATATCCCCCCTTATGTATTATACATGGTGATCATATCCCCCTTATGTATTATACATGGAGATCATATCCCCCCTTATGTATTATACATGGAGATCATATCCCCCCCTTATGTATTATACATGGAGATCATATCCCCCCTTATGTATTATACATGGAGATCATATCCCCCCCCTTATGTATTATGCATGGAGATCATATCCCCCCTTATGTATTATACATGGAGATCATATCCCCTCCTTATGTATTATACATGGAGATCATATCCCCCCTTATGTATTATACATGGAGATCATATCCCCCCTAATCTCCTCTTCTCAATAGAAAATAACTTCAGTTCCTCTAATCTTTCCTCATAGCTGAGCTCCTCCATGCCTCTTATCAGTTTGGTTGCCCTTCTCTGTACTTTCTCCAGTTCCCCAATGTTCTTTTTGTGAATTGGTGCCCAAAACTGAACTGCATATTCCAGATGAGGTCTGGTGAGGAAATGCAGTCCAGATGCATTCTGGATGCGTTTTTGCATGCACGTTGTTGATGTGTTCCGCTTTAATGCTTTGTTCCCCGCTCCCCATTAAGGATTGGCACCTTTGGGGAGGTATTTGATAGGTACCCAAATCTGACAGGTACCCGCTCCCACTTCTACTGCGATCGCCTAGGCGATTGGAAGTGGAAGTTGTCCTGCCTCCCCGTAGTCTTCTGGGACATGTGACAGGTCCCAGAAGACTACGAGGCCAGTCACAAAGCGCAGCGCTTCTCGCACATGCACAGTGGGCACCCGGCTGTGAAGCTGCAAGCTGAAGATGCCGGCACCAGGGAGAGAAGACAGCCGGTAAAACCAGCGGTGGTGAGGACACTGCTGGACCGAGGGACAGGTAAGTCTCTGTATTTTTTGCACAGTTTTTGTAGCTGCTGACTTTTATTTTTTTTTTTCAGGTGGAACTCCGTTTAAATTAGCAACACCCCGAAATCGGTCAACAAAACCTTTTTGGTGCGGATGTGGTGCAAGTTGAGCGCTGCATAATATATGGCTCAAATCGCACCACACAGAATTCACGTGATTTGCACAAGAATGCGGTGCAGTTCCTGTGTGAATCACATGCGATATGCCGCACCGCGCAAGTGTGAACCCAGACTTAAAATTATTGGAAAGGGTGAAACATTTTTCTCAAAAGAATAAACATGTTATACTTACCTGCTCTGTGTAATGGTTTTGCACAGAGCAGCCCCAAACCTCCCCTGCCAGGGACCCTTGTCGGCGCTTTCGGATCCTCACTGCTGAGTACTCCCATAGCAAGCCACTTGCTATGGGGGCACTCATGCATGCTCGCTCCCAAGCTGACTCTGTGTGTCCATAGACACACAGAGTGTGGCTCGTCCCCACCCCCTTCTCACTGTGATTGACAGTACTGAAAGCCAATGGCTCCTGCTGAATACTTTTGCATAATCAACCTCTGAATAATTGTTGATGACTTCAGAAAAACTTTCATTGGGCAATTCCCTTGAGAAGTCGTTGGGTGATTTTCATTTATTTGACGGTCATGAAATCCATTTTTAATCCTGGCCAATTTTTATATCTTTGACACATAGGGCAGTGCCATTAATTGGCTAAGTACAACGTTTGTAGGGCAGGATTTTCAGGATCGCTGGCCTCTTCTTTTGCCAATATTATTTATTGATAATTGTACACCAAAAGAAGAAAGCACTTCCGCCTGGCAGTACTAGGGTTGTTGGTTCGAATCCCAACCATAGCACTACCTGCCTGGAGTTTGCATGTTCTCCCTGTGTCTGCGTGGGTTTCCTCTGGATACTCCGGTTTCCTCCCACACTCCAAAGACATGCTGGTAGGTTAATTGGCTCCTGTCTAAATTGTCCCTAGTATGTGTATGTATGAATGTGAGTTAGGGACCTTAGATTGTACACCCCTTGAGGGTTAGGAACTGATGTGAATGTACAATATATATGTAAAGCACTGCGGAAATTGACGGCGTTATATAAGTACCTGAAATAAATAAATAGATTCATTTTTTACTACGGAGAATACAAATAAAAGTTTATTTAATGCGGTGACAATAAACAAAAATGGCAGCAATCCCCAGCGCACGTCTGAAAGCTTATGTCTGATTGGTTGCTGAGTGACACCGCTGAACAAGGCAGCATGATATCATATTAGGCCGGCAATGTCGCCGTCTCTTTCATGTACATTTTTTGGGCCATTTCCTAATTCCTCACATACAGGCATCCTTTCATCTTATCTTCAGAGAACCCGTAGCCACAGATTTCCTGGCCGTCTAATTCCCTCTGTGCAGCCCACACTTCTTATGCAAAAATATTTATTGGTGTCACTTCAGGTTCTTCAAATGAACTGCCGGTGACATGTAAAGGATGGCCGGGGACATGGCAGGCTTATGCCGCTGGACTGTGCCAGTCAATCTGCAGTACCCCCCCCCCCCCCCCCCCCCCCCTCCTTTAATCCCTTCTTGCCATTAAATTATAAATCCCGCACTCAGCGGTCACGCTGTCAATTTATCTTCTCACCAATTTGAGCTTCTTGACGGCGTCCTCGCATACATGCATGCCTCGCGACTCCTCCACCTCCACGTGCCCCAGGTACTGGGGACAAAAAAAAGAACACATTACAAGAAGCCACGGGACACTCCGGAGAATTCAAAGGAATGACATGAAACACAGCAGAGTGGTAGTAATGACAGATGAACGCTAGAGGGCAGTATAGACCACAGTGACAGCGCAAGAACTATTTAAAGCCAAACTCCATCACTACTGCAATAGAACACAGTGGAGTGGGGGGGCCCTGCGCTGCAAGGGTTAAATGCTCGATATTATATTAAATAATTAAACTGCCCAAATACCTAAACCTAATTGCCACCCCTCTCGGCCAATCCCTCCACTGGCTCCCAGTTGCGCAACAGATAAAATTCAAAACACTAACAATGACATATAAAGCCATCCACAACACTGCCCCAATTTACATAACCGATCTTATCTCTAAGTATCACCCAAAAAGTACACTCCGCTCCTCGCAAGACCTCCTACTCTCTAGCTCCCTTGTCTCCTCCTCCCATGCTCGTCTCCAAGACTTCTCCAGGGCGTCACCCATCCTCTGAAACTTCCTACCCCAATCTATCAGACTTTCACCTACTGTACTTGCCTTTAGGCGATCACTGAAAACCTATCTCTTCAGGGAAGCCTATCCCACCCTCTGCTAATACTGGAATCCTCTACTCTTCCAACCACTCCATCCCCCACAGTTACTACCTACTGCACCATTCACCCCTTCCTCCTAGATTGTAAGCTCCAAGGAGCAGGGCCCTCAAATCCCTCTTGTATTGAATTGTATTGTTACTGTATTGTCTCCCACTATAATGTAAAGCGCTGAGCAAACCGTTGGTGCTATATAAATCCTGTATAATAATAATAATTGTGTACAAAGCAGCAAACACACCAAGAGGATATCCCCTCTAAATCCCAAATCAAATAAATAGCTAGTGTTGCGCCAAGTGAAATATATACATACATCAAAAAGTCACATAAATAATATACAAATGATATGCGTCCAATAAAGGATAAAACAGAAAAGTGCTCAATCATGAACCATTGCCAGAAGTAAATATTTTGAATAAACATGTATGAAACAGTCCTTATAAGGTATATAGATCAGTCCCCCCTTATTCTGTGGTGATAGAAGATCTTCATTCCAATATAACCACCAAACGGTAGAATTGAACCACCGTGATATCGAATTGGAGGCTTACCAGATCCTATGACCCCTTAATTATAGGGGGTCAATACACGCCTGATATATATAATTCCGTCCAGATTCATATGCCTCAGATCAGATCACGTATACCATCCAAGGCTCCTCAAGCCATCCCCCGGTGTTAAGATGTTGAAATACGCTCATATAAAAAATAAAGAGGTGCCTCTCATAGTGCAGTAGGTTAAAAAACCAATTTGTTAAATGAACTAAAATGCACTTACAAGCATAGTCAGTTATAAGGCAACCATAGACCTTCAGTCAGCAGAAACAACTGTAAAATGGCGGTTCTTACGTGATGACGTCAGAAGGGAGGCTCTGCTTAATACATTTTTTAACCTACTGCGATATGAGAGGCACCTCTTTATTTTATATGAGCGCTATCCTCTCCCTCCTAGATTGTAAGCTCCAAGGAGCAGGGCCCTCGAACCCCTCGTGTATTGAATTGTATTGTTACTGTACTGTCTCGTGTACCATCTCCCATTATAATGTACAGCGCTGAGAAAACTGTTGGCGCTCTTTAAATCCTGTATAATAATAATGAGCGTATGTCGACCCCTTAACACCAGGACGGCCTGAGGACTGAAACCAGCAGGCCTGTCTCTAATGAGTACCAGTAGTCCTACCCACAAACAGGTTCTGAAAGTCAGCAAGGACTATACATGTAAAGATTACTCTAGATCAGTGGTTCTCAACCTTCCTAATGCCGTGACCCTTTAATACAGTTCCTCATGTTGTGGTGACCCCCAACCATAACATTATTTACCCAGTAATTATAATTCATGAGTGTCCTTTTACCTCCAATACTGCTGCTTTCAACACAGCAGCTGCTTTCAACACAGTAGCTGCTTTCACACAGTAGCTGCTTTCAACACAGTAGCTGCTCTTTAGACATCGGAAATATGTGTTTTCTGATGGTCTTAGGGGACCCCTGTGAAAGGGTCGTTCGACCCCCAAAGGGGTCACAACCCACAGGTTGAGAACCATTGCTCTAGATTAACTCAAGTCCCTAGATTCCCTGATTCATACAAAACAGCAACGGAGGAATCTCCCACTGCCAGGTATTGAATTGCAATAGTCAGCACCTGCGGCTGTCAGATCACCTGAACAGTGAGTTCTACTGATTGCCTGCAGCTGCTGTTAGGCCCTTTGTTTTCTGCCTGGCCGATTTCTCAGTTGAAGTTGGTCAAACCAGGTGGTGTTGGCAGGGCCACCCATGGCCAAAGAAAACCAAAATCAGATGAAATGTGAGCCGTATATGGGCAGCTGTAGTGAGGCATTCCCTTCCAGGCCTGCCAGGCACATTTAGCCAGACGTCACTACGGTTTGGAGCATTTCCTGAGGTCCCCGTGTCCTCCACCGATGACCTTCCTGAATGGAGACACTTTGTAGGTGTGCACAATGCCGGAGAGGCCACCAGGGAGGGAAGATGGTGGTACATACAATGTCACTCACCCGGACAGGAAAACTGCATTTCCCCCTCCTCACCGCCTCTTCGTCTGCCCCCCACTGGTGCGGGCGGCTGGCCTCCGGGACATACGTTGGTTTTTTCCTCCTTAGACTCTGCCGCAACTTGTTCATCTCAGGAGCTGCCAGGCTGTAGATGCCAAAAAGAGAGATATTTTAGATGGAAATAAAAACTTGTCCTCGCTAGGATGATACAACTGGTTCAATATGGCATTGTGTTGTTGAGGCATACCTGTACACAGGGAAATATGAAGGCTGCCACGGCCGACCCTTCCTTTTGGAAATGCTAATTGCCTGGCAGTTATGCTGACTGGATATGCAGAGATCTCAGCCAGGGTGGAAGTGACACATACTTGGTTTGGCTATACTCCAAACTCCAGGAATTACACAAATATACCTTTGCTGTGCTCCCCACCCCTTCCCCAGCATTGAAAGGGATAAATGCTAGATAAAGTGATATTAAAGGCAAATAAAAAAACAAAAAACAAACATGTTATACTTACCTGCTGTGTACAGTGGTAGGAGGATGTGCAGTGATAGGAGGAGGATGCGTAGCGGTAGGAGATGTGCGGTGATAGGAGATGCACAGTGGTAGATGTGCAGTGGCAGATGTGCGGTGATAGGAGGAGGACGTGCGGTGGTGGTAGGAGACGTGCGGTGCGGGACGTGGTGATAGGTGGAGGAGATGTGCGGTGGTAGGAGATGCGGTGACAGGAGACGTGCGGTGGTAGAAGACGTGCGGGTGGTGAGATGTGCGGTGGTAGGGAGAGATGTGCGGTGCGGTGACAGGAGACGTGCGGTGACGGAGACGTGCGGTGGTAGGAGACGTGCGGTGACAGGAGACGACAGGAGACGTGCGGTGACAGGAGACGTGCGGCGGTGGGTGGAGACGGCGGTGACAGGACGTGCGGTGGTAGGAGACGTGCGGTGATGGAGACGTGTGTGCGGGAGACAGGAGATGTGGTGACGGTGACAGGAGACGTGCGGTGAGACGTAGGAGACGTGCGGTGCGGAGACGTGACAGGAGTTGTGCGGTGATAGGAGATGTGTAGTGCACCTAGCAAATCACTTAGAGAGCAGCATACATAACAAAATAGAAGTGCTCCTATGCAGAGCCCATACATACATAAGAAGAGATATTCAGAATTACACATTTTGCGAATAACAATTTTTTTTTCCATGAGCACCAATGCAAAGCTGAAGTTTTTCCTGAGCAGAGCTTAAAGTGGTTCTAAAGTCTAAAAGTAGTTTTTACCTAAATGCATTATGGTAAGAGTTCCCTTACTATCTTTCCTGGCCAGCTGAATCAATGAACTATGAGAGCTCACCAGAGCCCTCGCAGATCATTGAGAACTACAAGCCGTCTCCCGTGGTGACAGATGGTAATTGTAGTTCATTCATTCACAGGAAATTGTGAATAAATGACATGACCGTGTGGGTGGAGCTCTGCACTGCCGCACTGTTTTTGATTTGTGACAGCGGGTGCGGAGAGAAGGTCCCCCGCCCACGGTCATGGGGGGAGGTGTGAGGGGAGTGCAGGCTGGTACTGTACTGTAACATGTTACAAGGGTGAACTTATCCTTTAAAAAAAAAAAAAAAGACTTTTTCATCACTTGAACACCATCAGCTTATCCCTGAACACCAGTGTAAAGTTGGAGTGTTGTAATGAGCACCAATGTAAACTTTGTGTATTTTCATGCATATATTCATATTTTTAGTATGCAATTCTGTTTTATATTCTATTCATGTTGTCGGGATCTACATTTGTATTGCTATAATCTAAAACTAATTGAACACAATAATGTACTGAAAGCTGAAGATGTGAAAATTATTCTAGGGCTTTGCTGAGATCTTAAAGCCAGGGTCGTTGGTTCGAATCCCAACCACGGCACCACCTGCCTGTTTGCATGTTTTCCCTGTGCCTGCTCAAGTTTCCTCCCACATTCTAAAGACATGCTGGTAGGTTCATTGGATCCTGTTCTAAATTGTCCCTAGTATGTGTATGTATGAATGTAAGTTAGGGACCTTAGATTGTACACGCCCCTTGAGGGTTAGGGACTGATGTGAATGTACAATATATATGTAAAGCGCTGCGTAAATTGACGGCGCTATATAAAGTACCTGAAATAAATAAATTCCGGGGGTCAGAATGCTCCTCTGAAATAGGGCTGTCCCCACACTGCAAGGTTTAAAAGATTTAGGTCAGAGGTGTCAAACTGGCAGCCTCCAGCTGTTCGGAAACTACAAGTCCCATGAGGCATTGCAAGACTGACAGTTACAAGCATGACTCCCAAAGGCAGAGGAATGATGGGACTTGTAGTTTCACAACAGCTGGAGGGCCGTCAGTTTGCCACCCCTGGTTTAGGTCTAGGGAAACAAGAAAAGCGGTTTTACTTACCTGATCCTCCACTCCCACAGGCTTCCACCATACTTCAAGACTGGTCCCCATAGCCTCTCCTCTATGGTACGGCAGTTGCAGGTCCTCTGACGTCTTTAAGATCGCTCCATAGTCCATAGTCCATGGACGTAAGGGCGCTGAGGAACAGTCCACCACTGAAGAGTAGAGGAGTACTGGTTGCTGCGGGAGCAGAGGATCGGGTAAGTATAACTGCTTTTCCCATCCTCTATACCTAAGGGAGCATTTAAATCTTGCAGTGTGGGGGCAGCCCCATTGCATGGGAGGATTTCTATTTTCCCAGGAGTTGGCTTTTAAAGGGATGTCAAGGGTTCCTTGAGGATAAAAAGGTCGGCGTCCCCTATTGTATGTAAGTCGGTTTCTAGAGTAATATATGCGTTTTGTTTTGCGCCCTTTTAAGATCTTTTGTAAAGCACAAAGCAGGAGGATACAACGCCACCTTAAATAGTGGTGAGATCAGACTGACAGCGTCCAGGAAGTAATGTGTTAATAATTCCCAGAATTCCAGGCTCTCCCCACCCTTCCAGACATATGTGGTTAGATTAAAAACATATGGTGAGCATTTTCCGGAAACAAAAAAGGATCCAAGAAGGAAAGAGAATGAATTAAAAAGGGTAAAAAAACAACAAAAATAAACAAGCAGAGACCCCTCCCTGGGTAGAGGGCGCCCTGCATGGCGGTGATTTCAGCATCCGAAAAAGCGATGGACTGCGTAGCGCTAATCTACTGGGAAAGAGGGAAAATACCGCCGTAGGGCCTTACAAGCAGCCAATAATGAGCAGCGCAAGTCTGTGACCTGACTGATTGAATTACTCGGCAATGAAATGCAATAAACAGACATTCTTCAAGAGATACGAGACCACGCGGGGAAGTAGAGACGGCAGCAGCCACGACATTCCCATTTTTCCGCTCTGGTTATGTGCAAGATGTGTCAGAGGGACGAGCAAACTTCTAGATCCCAGTTCCCTTCCTTGCTATAGTATGTCTTCCAACTGCTGAACATTGACAGTTAGTCTTCCGTCAGAATGAAAGAAAAAGTCACTGAGCCCGAAACCCTGATGAAGGAATCTCACCACAGAGGTCTTTAACCACTTGCCCTCCAGAGGATTTCCCCCCCTTCCTGACCAGGCCATTTTTTGCATTAAAGTAAATTTCATTTGGGCGCAACGTTGCATGACCGCGCAATTGTCAGTTAAAGTAACATTGTTTCCAATGAATAGAGCGTTTTTTTGGTGGTGTTTGATCGCCTGTGTGGTTTTTATTTTTTGGGCTATAAATAAAAAAAGACCAACAATTTTGATTAAAAAAAAAAAAAACTATTTTTGACATTTTTCCTAGTAAACGTGTCCGGTAAAAAAAAAATGTTAAAAATCAAATTTAGTCATAAATTTAGGCCAAAATGTATTCTGCTACGTCTTTGCTAAGAAAAAAATACCAGTATGTGTAAATTATTGGTTTACGTGAAAGTTATAGTGTTTAGAAATGGCGCTATATATACTGGGATTTTTACTAATAATGGCGGCAATCAGCGACTTATAGTGGGACTGTGGCGGGCATTCTGACACTGGGGGGGGAACTGACTTGGTGTCACTGACATCCCTAGTGACACCAATACAGTGATCAGTGCTAATAAAAAATACTAATGGCACTGGGCAGGAAGGCATTCTGACATTGGGGGGGAACTGACTTGGTGTCACTGACATCCCTAGTGACACCAATACAGTGATCAGTGCTAATAAAAAATTCTAATGGCACTGGGCAGGAAGGGGTTAATGTGGGGCGGTCAAAGGGTTAACTGTGTGCGGTTTGACTGTGTGCCTTGTGTGTGCTTTCCACTGTAAGTACACTGCTTTGTATAGTTCTGCTATGCAGAGCCATACAAAGCAGTGTGCAGGAGCTGACAGGGGAGAGATCTGCATTGTTTATACACAGGTCTCTCCCTGTTCGGTAATTCTCGGAGATCGCCGGGTGCCGGTGGGGAATTACCGGCTGGGACCTGGTGGTTGACAGCCGAGGCTGTGAATGGGGGTTGACAGCCAAGGCATGGTGGCACGCGCCCCCTACCTGGAACTGCAAAATCACATATATATGCGTGATTTTGCACGCCCATGCCACCCTGTAGCAGTAGTTCTGCTATAGGACGGCGCGGAAGCGGTTAAGAGATATAAGAAGGTCAGAAGTGATTCACTACAACAGTGTCTAACATAGCTACAATCTCAGTTTCCAGCAGACCAATCCTTTAAATCCACATGTTGCCTTTATAGACATCTTAAAGAATAAATTTACCTCCGAGATTATAAAAATACAAACTAACTTAAATTAAACTTAAATAAAGCTCTACCGGTAAAGGATGGACCACCATGAATGACTTCAGAAGGACTTCTTAGCTGTAGAATACAATTCTCCTCTTCCTTTGTTGTATATTTATCTATTATTATTATTACAGGTACTTATATAGCACCATCAATTTATGCAGCAATTTACATATTTATTACACACACCATCAATTCCCTACTTTGAATCCCAGGCAATTCTGCTGGCAGTTGTGGCTGCAATCTTTCTTGGTCTACCTGACCTTGGATTGGTATCAAGAGATCCCCGAATTTTCCACTTCTTAATAGGTGATTTAACAGTACTGATTGGCATATTCAAGGCTTTGGACATCTTTTTATGTCTTTTTCCATCTTTATAAAGTTCC